GTATATATTATGTATGTATGTATATATGTATTTATGTGGGTATGTAAAACTATATCTCTGTATCACCCACCAGGTGTGGTACCGTCCTGGCAGTCTGTGTTGACCACTGCCCTGGACAGTGCCAGGACAAACCTGTCTATTGACCTGTTGCCTATAGAGGTGGAGGGCACAAGGTCATCATACGAGGCCATTGACAAAAGTGAGTACAAATTTGACAAAAGTGAGTGCATAATTGACAAAAGTGAGTACAAAATTTGACAAAAGTGAGTGCATAATTGACAAGAGTGAGTACAAATTTGACAAAAATGAGTGCATAATTGACAAAAATGAGTACAAATTTTGACAAAAGTGAGTGCATAATTGACAAAAGTGAGTACATATTTGACAAAAAAATGAGTACATATTTGACAAAAGTGAGTACTTCATTGACAAACGTGAGTACATTATTATTATGTTGGATTACTGGCATCTGTGGTTAAGAGGTTATGTTATGTGCTGAGCCATCACACCCAGGAGGCATAATTAGTTCATTTCTCGATTGATGAGAATCAATTTAAATACATTTTATCGAGTGTCCCGGCTTTTCTGTTGGGATGTTATATCCCTTTGAACCTGGGTTGACTTTGAAAGGCAAAGTCAAAGTTCACATTCTAAAATGAGCTCAATTGTGCTGTAGGGGGCGTAGTGCGCCTACATTTTTAACAAAGTAATCTATTTACTTTCTCTTACGTACAAAAAGATAATAATTATTATTATAAGACTTATCATTGGAGCCTACTGTCTTTTAGACATCTTCTTTCTCCAAGCACTCATAAAGATTGACATGCTGACGTAGGGGGGACCGGGCTAAAAGTTCCATGGGTGAGATCAGAGGTCTTGATGCCCAGAGAAGCAAAGTGCGTGAAGGAGGAGTAGAATATAATTGTAGGTTACCAAAAAAAAAGCATCTTTGTCAGGTAGAAACTGAGTCTAATCAAGATGAGAAATTATAAAAGAAAAACCGACTGAGGGGAAATTCTGATCGTTCTCAGGGGATGCAATGATGGCAGCTATCTGCATGGTCATTGAACATGGAGCGAATGTGGAACGAGCTAGCAGGAGACTTTGGCGTCAGCGAATCTATAAAACTCTTCTCTAAGTAGATGTAGATCTAGAGATCAAATTATTGGGAGACAGGAATCTACAAAGTACAAATTATGAGCGCGCTGAATCTCTATAAGGCAAGTTTCAAGCAAAGAGCATGATCAACAACTTGTGAACAACTTCATCAAAGTCAAAGTCAAAGCATCAAAACTATTTCATGGACCGACAATACAAAATATCCGACAGTGGCTTGTAATGTAAATATGCAGAGGCAAACAGTATTCTTGTCGAAAAATAAAGCTGCTGTAAAAGACTGGACCTAATAATTAATGAAACGGCACACAACGAACTTTCTCTGTACACACACGTACCAGAGGCAACCGCTCTTCAGAGAATGGTATATTTCAACCTCACAAATTATGTAAACATGATTTACAACAAAAACCGAGATATTGAAGATAAGGCAGGGGTTCACACCTGGCAGCGTGTACCCTTGCAATGAAATGGGTATCGCAACTCAACAGTTCTACTTTACTTTTACTTTACTTTTACTTGTTCATCCTCTGTTGCCGTTAGGCGTCGAGGGGAGATGTAATTTTCTATGGTAGGCCAGCTCCGCAGCTCTTTTTCTTTGGGTTTCCTTGACACCCTTGATGCACCTTTTGCATGGCTTTCCTCTTCCTTTATGGCCTGAGTGCTTGGTGTTGTAGGCTCTCGAGGCTGGCTGGTCTGGTGACATGCGTAACAGGTGGCCAAACCATTTTATCCTCTGTCTTTCAATGTTACGCAGGCAGGACTCAGTGCCGATAGCTACTCTTATTTCTTCATTTCTCTGCCTCAACAGATCAACAACCCAGAAAGCCGATTGCTGAAAAAGAAATGTCTTGCTGTGTTTCAAGAAAAGAGATCTTTGGTTACAGTCTGTTGTGTAGTCCCTATTATCACCCCGCCATCTTCTTTCACCAGCATACAAAAAGGTGGACGACCTTGACCTACATGCCGTCATCAGTCCCTGGGACAGCGCTGTTGGTCTGGCCACAGAGACGCTCCGAGTTCCCTACCTCGCCACCACCCACGTCAGCAGGAGAGGGCTGGAGTTCACTTCCCAGGTCAGTTGGAAGGGAAAAAGTATCTCAAATTAGGTTGTAGAATCAGACACTCGAGAACGGAGACATCAGTATGCTCCCAGTGTTGGCTGATTTTTATTGAATTAGTACTGTGTACACAATATAATATTTGAGTGTGTGCGTGTGTTTTTGTGTATGGGGGGGGGGCATACTTCTTTGCTAAATCACCTTAACCTCGGCCAAAGCATTTGTATTGTAGCTTAAAAGTATGTTGGAATTAGAAGAGGAAAAAAAGTCAAAAGGGACCCTAACATTATTATTATTATCATCATCATTGTATAGGCCTATTATTACATTTAATGTTACTATTACAGTAATAATTACTATTATTAAGCCTATTATGATCATTATTATTATCATGTTCTGTTGGTGTGTCCAGGTGAGTCCAGAAATCAAGAGGTCATCAGAAGCATTTCTGGACATCAGTCAGATATACCGGTGGAAAAAGGTCAGCGTTTTCTATGACTCTGATGACGGTAAGACTTCCTCTGTTTGTGTGTGTGTGTGTGTGTGTGTGTGTGTGTGTGTGTGTGTGTGTGTGTGTGTGTGTGTGTGCA